CCATTGAGTTGCATTACACCGCAATGTGCCCTACTTCGTTATTTACTCTGTCTAATGCCAGACGATTTTACTCATCAAGGGGAGAACAATGCCGCTCAATGGGTTTATCAGATTATCTGCCCATGTGTCTAGTTAATCCATTGAGTTGCATTACACCGCAATGTGCCCTACTTCGTTATTTACTCTGTCTAATGCCAGACGATTTTACTCATCAAGGGGAGAACAATGCCGCTCAATGGGTTTATCAGATTATCTGCCCATGTGTCTAGTTAATCCATTGAGTTGCATTACACCGCAATGTGCCCTACTTCGTTATTTACTCTGTCTAATGCCAGACGATTTTACTCATCAAGGGGAGAACAATGCCGCTCAATGGGTTTATCAGATTATCTGCCCATGTGTCTAGTTAATCCATTGAGTTGCATTACACCGCAATGTGCCCTACTTCGTTATTTACTCTGTCTAATGCCAGACGATTTTACTCATCAAGGGGAGAACAATGCCGCTCAATGGGTTTATCAGATTATCTGCCCATGTGTCTAGTTAATCCATTGAGTTGCATTACACCGCAATGTGCCCTACTTCGTTATTTACTCTGTCTAATGCCAGACGATTTTACTCATCAAGGGGAGAACAATGCCGCTCAATGGGTTTATCAGATTATCTGCCCATGTGTCTAGTTAATCCATTGAGTTGCATTACACCGCAATGTGCCCTACTTCGTTATTTACTCTGTCTAATGCCAGACGATTTTACTCATCAAGGGGAGAACAATGCCGCTCAATGGGTTTATCAGATTATCTGCCCATGTGTCTAGTTAACTCATTGAGTTGCATTACACCGCAATGTGCCCTACTTCGTTATTTACTCTGTCTAATGCCAGACGATTTTACTCATCAAGGGGGAGAGTGCTGGCGCTCGATGGGTTAAGTAAGTGATGGATACATATACTTAGCCGGTATTCTAAAAGCTCACTCACACTCACACTCAATGAGTGGAGGTTCAATCAAAGCTTCTCTTGAGTGTCAATGTTGTTTTTGAATAGCTGGAGGGTGCGCAGTCACATAGTAACGTATGGCACTACCCCTCCAGCTATTCAAAAGCAGCATTGACGCTCAAGAGAAGCTCAGATTGAACCTCCACTCATTGAGTGTGAGTGAGCTTTTAGAATACGGGCGATAGCATGTACGAATGGTGCTTTGGTGGCGCAGGCGTCAGAGCAATTGCCTTTCACCTATGAGATCGTGGGTGGGATTCTCGCTATGGACTCATGTGAAGAGTCAGTTAACGCTCTGCCAAAAGTCGTGGGTTTTTCCGGGTGCTCCGGTTTCCTCCCACAGGGAAAGTTGACAGGGTGGGTTAGGATAAACACAGTTAAGAAAGTAATATCACAATTGTTGTAAAGATAATTAGTCTAAGGCCAAGTAGGTAATACGTAAGTGTAATACTTGATGTAATCGTTCACTAATGTATATAATTATGTACTAACCCTCACGCCATTTTTCGTTGTGACTCCAACAGATTTGAAGTCGCAGACAACAAATGCCACAAGATATGTGCTCATCTTCACACTTTGCATGAACTGTGTTTCACGAAGATTCCTACCGATGTTCGTCTAGAGAGAAGATGACATTAAAGGAACATGGCAATACAAATTCATATAACCTGATAAGGTTATAGGTCAAAACTGACCTTGAAGGCAGTGGTGTCAAGTAACGAAGTAAATGTACTTCGTTACTGTACTTCGGTACTATTTTTGAGAAGTGAGCATGTAACAAAGTAAACCTTTTCTGGGTACTTCCTCGGGTAGAAGAATTTGCATCACAGATTACGTCATCAGTTAGTTATAGTGAGTAGTGTTGAGGTTAGGGTTAGGGTAAGGGTAAAGATTAGATTAAGGATTAGGCTTTGAGATAGGGATTGGGTTATATCTGACGCCACAAACAACACAACTAGCCGATCACGTGATCAGTTCTCCTCTACCCAAGGAACTGGCCCTTTTTCTCGAGTACTTTTACTTGGAACGAAATCGGTTTACGAAGTAACGTTTTACTTCGTTATTTTCATTTTGTGACGAAGTATTTCGTTACTTTCTAACTTTTGTTTAATTTTACATGATTTATTCCAGATTTATTTTAATTTTGGGATAGGTAATAGAACCTCTACATATAAGCATCATTTTTTATCTAATGGATTTCTTATATCTTCAACGGGGTCTGGAAAGTAGACCATGCCGTGAAATATTGTATATTATGGTGCTCGCATATAGTGCGTGTGCTGTTTTGTGTCTTTCGTATGTCAATCCATTGAAAAAGTCCCCCCCCCCCCTACACGCTATAGACAATAGTACTTTCACTTTTACTCTGTACTTCAAGTATTTTTTAAGGATGCTTTGTACTTTTTACTTAAGTAAGTTTTGCCTCCAGGACTTTTTATTCTTACTCAAGTCGTTTTATTGTTAATTACTTCTACTTTTACTCGAGTACAAATTCAAAGTAATTTAGGCACCACTGCTTGAAGGTCAATGTTATGTTTCCTTCATACATTTTGTACAGTACTAGTAGTCACTGCCTGACCAACCGCCCAATTGACGGATAAGGCATGTGCATTGTTTTGTCGGACACCAACTTACTTATCGATAAAGTTTCCTTACCGTTTTTACTGCAGGCATGTTAGAAAGAGGCACTAAGCCATTCTTGTAGACAAGGATGATAGTGAAATTTGCTTTCATTGCCGGTTCATCAAAACATGGAAATGCTTGTCGGGCTGCAGTTGCTTCAAAATGAGTTGTGGCCAAGTGTCTAGGTTGAAATTATACAAACATGCATACATCAGCAACGTAGTTATACATCAGTTTTGAAACTGCTCTCAGTTTCACAAATCCGTTCATTTCATGATTTTTTTTTATAAATATAGATTGTTTGGGCACTTATAATTCAGAATAAACAAAAAAATTTTCGTAAAGATAAATTTTCCAGAAATTATTGGGGAGGATCCTTTAACCTAGTGTCCTTTAACTGATCTAAGCTGAAACGCTTGCTCTCTCTCTATTTCATTGTATTCGGATAAATACTCACAGCGGTAAATTTTCGCGTTTCCCTGAGAAAGTTTCAATAGGAATTCTAGACGTTGGAGAATATGCTGACCTCACCTGGACTGCTTTTGAACATTAGCTTGCGTACTATAAGTCAAAACACGTTTTGCGAGTATCAAATTTACAAACATTGCAGTTTCATTGTTAAAAGGTGATACTTGAAAATCTTGAAAAGTAAACACATGTGTTAAAAAGAGCAGAAATTTATATGTGTTTTATCAATGGTCCAAATAATCTACCAAATTTTGGGTCCTTTAAATAGCTGCTGAAACTTGCACCAATATGCTTATCATGCATGCTTTAAATGCATGCATTTATCTAATTTGCATATTGCTATTTACAATAACAATGTATGGTTGTAGCAATGAATCTGTTTTTGGCAAAATTGTCATCAATTCAAAATTTAAGGCAAATAATTGCTGCCGAGCGCAGCACACCTATTCTTGCGGGTTATAAGCTGGTCACAGACGAGCAAGTTTTCTATGACAAGTTTTTATGTGACAAGTTTTATTTGCCAAGTGCACGTGTGTATATGCAAGAAATTTGATATGACAAGTTTCATATGACAAGTTTTATTTACTGGTGTGAACGTGTCAGCAAGTTTACTTTGACAATTTATTAGCCAGCAATGTAATAGTACAGCGGCCAACGCGAGCGCGCGAAATTATGCCATTTTTAATTTTTATTTCTGGCCAATCACATCAAATGCTCAGATTACAGATTTGTTGACCCATACAGACGAACAAAATTTGTACTTGTAGCTAGCAGACTAGCTTTTGAACAAGTGCACTTGTCACAGATTAGAAAACATTAGGGAGCTTAAGATCTACAACGCGAATTTGTGACGCGGACGTGCTTACCTAAGTATAGTTTTCGAGTATAAGCCTAGTCAGAGTTGTCACAGTTTATTTCTGCGAGATTTGTGACACTGTTATGACACGTTAACAGCCATACGAAATGATACAAACCAGGCTTTATAGACTATTGTTACGAATGCACATTTTCCCGCCAAAACTACCATCCGAGACGACGTGATATTTGCAAAGATTCGTCGTCATAGAAGTCGTAAAAACTTATGATAAAAAACATCTTCTTAATATATTGCTAGCCTCTGTTATGTTGTACATTTTTTCCAGTATAATTTCATTTTATTTACTGTGATAAAAATATTTTAATGGTATTTGCCATTGTTTTAAAATAAAACTTGTTTAATGCGACGTCCGCGTCGTAAGCTCGCGTTGTAGATCTTAAGCTCGCTATTGTCAAAGTTGCGCGAACAGACGAGCAAATAAAACTTGTCACATACAAACTTGTCATAGAAAACTTGCTCGTTTGTAACCGGCTTTAGTTAGCTGTTTGTTTTTCCTTGCGCCAGTCATTTTGACCGAGCTATGTATGTTCGTGGATTCGATTTTTGGATGTGACGTAGTTGAAAGTATATCTTAGAATATATATCCATAGGCATACGGGAAGGAAAGAAATTGGGGGGGGCAGAAAGAAATTTGCCCAACTTTTTCGGATTGTGCCCGACAAGTCCCGAAAATTTTTTTTTCCGGAACAATTATTCTGGCGACCTCCACCCCCCCTTGCCAAAAAAATTTCGGTCAGTGTACCATTTTAGGGGTCAAAAATTTTTTCGGACATACAAAAATTTTTCGAAACATCAAAAAATTTTTCCCAAAAATCGAAAAATTAACATAATTCCCCACAAAATTGTCCCATTTATTTTTATAATAACCAAATATTGCCCGACTGAGAAGCGAATATTGCCCAACTGGCTTTGTTTGCCCAACAAACTGGTGTTATTATTCGGCAAGATTTTCTTGTTTTGACTACTTTTTGCCCGACTTTTGCCCGACTTTTGTTGCACATTTGCCCGAATTTTCGACTTTGTAATCTGTTTGGGGGGGGGGGGCAGTTGCCCCCCCTGCCCCCCGGCCCGTACGTCTATGTATATATCAAAGTAAGAAACCGGACATTATAGGACATTGGGCTGTCAATTTCCCCCCGCGTAAAATGCAAAATGACCGAAAAACAGCAAACTTCGCAAGGCTATATTATACGCATTTCACAACATTTCGCAATGAAACTTGTTCAGATCAAAATTTAGACCATAGTGCAAATGGTCCATTGGGACGCTTTAGCGCCGGTAATAATTTTCAAAGTGAAATATTACGAAAAAACAAAGTATTTGTGTTGATAATCATATGTTGATAGAATAATTTTGCCTAGCAAAAACTGCTCATCTTCTGCGAGATAGCAGTTCTCTGAGAAGCCAATCAGATCTCTCCTTTTACTCGCCTAACCCAGAGCCTAATTTTCAACAAGTGACCGAGTAAAAATGGCTCTCATGGGGACGAGAAAATGATATACAGTAATGTTGTCAAATTTTATAGAGGGTACGTTGTAACTGCGCCTCTTGCATTTACATCAAAAACTGGCCCTGGGCTACTGGCTATGCTGTGACAATTATGCATCCAAAAAAACTGTAATTATTATGCATGCATGTAGTCAGGGTAGCCATATGGCAATCAGTAATGTCTGTTTTCCATATAAATATGCATGGGTTTTTGGAACAGCTGCAGAAAATCATAAAAAAAAGTAAGGTGTTTGGTCGTTTGGATTAGGCTAAGAGTAGACCAGTGTAGACTGTGTGATCCTAAAATGTTAGCAAGGGGGGCTTATCTATGGAGGCCTTGGGGCATGAACCACCAGATATTTTTTATTCTAAAGTCTCCTACAAACGATTTTCTGCATCTTAATAGATTAAGTAACGTTTTTCTCATGATAAAAACAAGAAAATACAATCACTATCGGGCTTACCAGGGATGCATATTCATCAAATTGCTGGGGGGGGGAGGGGAGACTTGGACAATCTGGGACCGACTGTCTTGTACTATAAAACCAGTGGGAGCGAGCAGAACAGGTTCTATTTTTTTTGGGGGGGGGGGCTAAATAGGTCCAGCAAAATTGGGAACCATAGTTAAGATGTTCAGCCAAGTGCGGCATGCAAAACATGATTGAACTGTAATAGAGCAGCATTATGGGTGTGAAAACTAGGGAGAAAATTCCAAAATTGAGGCATGCTCCCCCTGGGGAAACTTGCAAAATTGAGACTCGAAAATACCAACCCGCACCGAGTCAAAGAATTTGAATGAAAAAATGCTCCTGTCTATACCAGACACTTGCGGCTTAAACAACTCTCATAGCTGATAGCTGAAATTTTAGGGCCAACTTTTGATGCAGTCTCAAACAAAACTGGGACCGATTTTTTGTGATTTTCGAGTGTTGGATTTTTTTACACCCACCCAAACTGCACCTGGGGCTCACCAGTTAGAATACCATCATGAATATAAGAAAAAATAACATTACTGGTGGGACGTTAAAAATCCAATAGAAAAAAATTGGAACAGTAGCTGTGTTTTAGTTGTAGAATAATGCAATCAAATTATTATTAATTAAATTAGTAAAAACTTGTTATAATTCCAATGATTATTTCTGTCTTGCTAAAAATCGTAAGGGGGGGGGGGGCTGAGACCCTTCCCAAAAAACTAAAAAGATATTTTAACAAGGGGGATAAGCCCCTCTGAC